TTATTGTCATTCTAAGTATAGTACTGTTATTTTAATGAGGCCATTACATGTGTATGATTGCATTTTTTCCCACAGTCTACATTAGGTTACTCTGCTGTTGATTACTTGTACCTTTGGGTTTGATAACATTTTGATGCTAAGGCTCCTAGTGTCATCTGTTTTTGAGCTCCACTGCCTTTAAAGTTCTATTGTTTGTATGATTTAAACCATATGAACATATAAACAAAAGAATATGCAATATACTTATCCTATGTAAATCTTTTTACACAGAGGCAATAAAGTTATTATTGTTATGAAGTACCATATGCTGATGAACAAAATTTAGTTGTTTGCACGGCAACACATGTTATACTTGTTCGATCTTTGATTTTCCTGCTTAGTTTTTCGGTTTTGGGTTCGTGTGTGCTTGACACAACTATGATTGGAAGTATGGGTATGTAATGCTTGAAGTTCACTCGAACACAGTTGCAACATTGCTAAAAGTGCCATCTTATAAATTCTGAGAGAGAAACTTGATGGATGTACATAACACATAATCAAGAATCTGGTTTTCATCACTAACTATTCCTAATGGAAATTGCTTTGCATTTTGTACATGACATATTTTCTCAAGGGCTTTCAATAATAGATGTAAAACCAATGTCTGTAAGCACTGATACTACAACAAATATAATGCAACCAAGCTCTTGTTACCACATACATGATATAAATTACTGAAGCTTAAATATTTATGAAGAATAAATTGGTTTGTTTCCTGTTTACCAATGTAATATTTTATTGTGCTGGTTACATGTAGCTATGTACCCCCACCTTATAGCCACACATTTTGTGTGACTTGTAATAGTGGACTTGTAATAGTGCACTGTGGTGGTCATGAATTTAATCTAATTTGTCATTTTAATTGATTCAACGATTTGTAAAGGGAAGGAACACATAATTTCAAACAGTCATGAAAACTATTATTGCCAAATTCATGAATCCATTAATGCCATGTAAATTAACTACATATGTGTGTAAATGGAACTGTCTGAATTTACCCGCTGGCAGGGTAGACCTTGCAATTAACCTCGTTTTTCAAACTATAAAACCCGCTTTGTCAAACTCTTTGATTAAAACTAGCCATCCAAAGACAACTTCCTTTTCAAGTGGGTGGAAGAGTTAATGGCATATACATTTCCAGTAAGGAGGATTTTGGGGGCCCTTGTGACAGGCCAAACTTTAAAAAAAAATGACAGGAAGGCTAATTGTAGTCTTCCACGTTCCGATGAGTCAGGTCAGTTAGTATTACATACTTACAACAGGAAATGCGTAGGTGTTAATTAATAAAAGGGAGAAATATGGTTAGTCTAGTCTGAAGGGTGGTCTTTTCATGATAGTGCATGCTTACACCTGATTAATTGCACAATATGTAGGAATTCTAATTGACAGTTGTCTGGTTCTCTCGGACAGTCGTTTTTGTCTTGGAGCAATCAAATGTGAAAACTGGTTGCCCATTGTGTCAACCATGAAAATACAAAAATCACATTATTACATAGTTAAATGTGCATTATCATTATATTTATTTTTTAGCTAAAAAAAGAATTTCAACATTTTTTTGTGCATTTGTCAAAAAAAAAAAAAAAGGTTTAAATATTGGGGACACCTACCAGGGTAATATTTTTTCATGTGAACAACCATTTTTTGTTTTTGCCTTTCAATAAAACTGCAATGATGAATGAACAACAAAAGTTTTGCATAAATTTGTAATTCCTTTTAGAGACGGACACTAGCAAAGCATACACAAATTTGTATAATAAAATAGGCTTGCTTGCATGATTACTCAAAGTGCATACTTACTTGTCTTGGACCAGCAATGCAAGTAGTTTGTTGATCAGACTTTTCCTCTGGTCAATTTATGCGTTTCCTACTTTGAATACGTAGCATGTATTTTATTCCATTGGTCGTACATGCACTTACGTAGATGACAGATGCGTTTCTGTGGTCAGAATGAGTCATTTTGATAATCCAGTTTACAATAAATGCAGTTGTTAAATGGTTTATATGTACTGGTACTTCAATTGAATATGCGCTTCTAATAGACGGAATATGATAATAATAATCTATTTGAACACAAGAATCAGTTCTGGTTAATTTTTTATGAATATTTGGTTAACAACCATAGGTCATATCACTGCCAATATATTATGTTTACATTTTTGATGTCCAGTATGCGTTAGTGTGATAACATGTCGATCAAAACAGGTTCGCACTCTGCTGTGATAACATTGCCTTGTGAGTTGTTTTATTAACAGGAACACCATTATTTATTTTCAAGTGGAAACGATCGATTCTTGCCAACCAGTCACGGCATACATGCATGTGTACTGAACGCAAGCAAGTGCGACCGCTTATAACAAGTAGTTAAATTTGGTTCAAAACCTGTAATAAAAAAAAAATATTGACTAGAGAAACAGATCATTCTATGAGTTAAACAATACTACATAAACTTATTAGTATACTATACTTACATTCAAGCGTGGGTAAAAATTACCTTATGCGTAGTAGTCTGTTATCACCCATAGTGACCTTAGTTGTGGTATGATGTGCACTCAGTGATTTTATGCATGTAGCCGCACTATTTGATGAGAGAATGTATACTCTCGATGACATGTTGTTTCTCTCATCCATTGCAGACATTGAAACAGAACACCGAAGCAAGACCAGAAGATCAAACTGAAATTAGACCCCCAAAACACAGATCACAGGTCAGTTGCATGTAGATATTTTTTAAGGGGCCATCTCAAATTATCACAGGGATTTTATTTTTGTCGTCTATTCAGGTGCTGCATGCATCGCCATTACATGTGCTCGTTTTTCTGTGATGCTATATTGTGCCAGGAAAAAAATTCTCTCTGTCCACCTGCCAAAAAACATGTACCAGGATTTTTTTCAGGTAAAGAATATGGAATTACATCAGTTTCTAGGTCATCACCAATGGCAACAACTTTAACATGATGCATTATGAGGTGCATCCATCATTTTGTCTAATCAATGTCAATAGCAACAAAATGAAAAAAAAATTCCTCACCACCTCATTTTCAAATTCCAATACAAGTAACCAATTTATTTATTTTCCTGGCCTTATAGCCGAAAAGCGCATCCTGCACATGGGTTCACTGCATGATACATTGTACATGTGTACAGTGCACAATATGCATGCATGCCCTGAAGCTTGATACTCACGTTTAGCATATGCATGGATTCTCTTTTCCCAATCAAAATAAGTGATCATTGCAACTTCAGTAACAAGTGGTGTGCTCTAATGAGCAAGGTTCACCAAAAAAAACATTTTATGTATAATCATTCACCCCTCTTTCCTCCATACCTGAAAACAGCATTTTTGTTGACTGATTGAAAATGAAAAAAAAAACATCACTTGATTTCAACTACGAACATTAAAAATCTTACTACCAAATGAAATAGCTTTAATTTTTAGGGGAACTTCATTAATTTGAGAATACCCCTAAGTATTATGGCAGTTTAATATGCTACCCAGTAAGCCACATTCATTAGTTTGACGATACTTGTCAATGGGTAGCCTACTCATGAATAGAAATATCCTCAATTTATCTATATTGTAATAGTATACTCTTGGTTAATACCGAAACTACCCCGATCATATGCCCAGCAGCCTGAACATGTAAAATCAGGAAAATTAGAGGGATGGACTTGACGATCACATTTTTGGCGTTTCGAAAAGTACTACTCAAAAGAAATATGGATTACTTGACTTCAGTATTGCAACATCTGGGTTCATCCTGAGTAAATAACAGAATAGAAAAGTTGCGAACCATGTTCCGCACGTTCACCCACCATACACTCTGAAATTAATGCATGTTTTCTTGTAAAAGCAGGAACCAAACTCCCGTACCAATCATGATTATGCAATGAAATACACTTTTTACATGCATATTTTAATAAATGTCATCGACGTTCAGGATGTCCTCATCTTGTTAAATGTCTAAAAACAGAGGGGTGGGCTTATACTCAGGGAGGGGCTTATGCTCAGGGAAGTACGATATAAGGATATTGACTCAATAAAAATGATATATTATGACTTTTGGTATACTTTTTGATATCCAGAACAGAAATATTCCAAAATATTTTGTTCTTTTAAAAACCCACACAAGAATACTGATTCATGTTACTATGGAATCTTCTTGATTGTACATAATAAACGAATTAACATTTCATGTGATTTATGACCAACTTCCTCAAAAATCACACTTAAGCCTTTATGTTTTAAGTCAGTCAGACCCACTCAATCATAGACACATATGCACCCTAATCAGCAGCATTCAGTACTTTCTAGCACATTATCTGTAAAAGAAGTTGTAATATAATTCAATTTATTCTTTAGAAAAATGAAAAATCACGACACCATCACAGAGACCACAGGGACAAGAAAGAAAGGAGAGAGAGGAGGGAGAGAGAAAGGGAGAGGGAACTTCGAGAAAAAGAACGACAGAGAGAACTGAAAGAACAAAGACGACGAGAAGGCATTGAGAGTCCATCTTTGCCGCGAAGAGCTGCAAGTAGTACTCCACCACTACAGAGGAGTATTGATAGGTGAGGGTCATCAATGCAAAGTTAGCTTTCTTTCTACTACTGGGAGGTTTTACGGCTGGTAGGCCCTTATTTGGGGTTCAAAATTTTAAAAAATGATCTATATTTACCTTGCCCGTACCATCAAAGATGGAAGGGAAAGGTATATTAAGGGAAAAATTTTGTCCGGCGTTGTCGTCGTCGCCGTCATCGTTGTTGTTGTTGTCGTCGTCGTCGTTAATAATTGTTATTGTGTGCATAATAACTTTTCTAATTCTATTCCAAATTTTATCAAACTTGGTCACCTTATTCATCAGTATAAAGTCTTCCCTGAGTTTGAACAACAGATGTCCTGTATGAAAATATCATGCAAAAATTGAGAAAATTTGATAAAATATTTTGACTGTTTCTACTTGACTGATCACCGGTGATACACATCAAAGGTCACTGATCTCAGTGGAAATATGCATTGTTGTATGTGTTCAATGAAGCAAATGATTTATCTTGTAATAATATCCTTGGTAATGTATCTCAGAATCCCATACTGGGTTTCAAAACCAACTCATGGAGAGATTGCACAGTCTGATACACATGTGCAAACCTACCAATAAAATCTTTACAGAAAACAAGATGTCAGAAAATCAATATAAGCACTGCTATGAACTGGGTGCCAAACTTTGATCAAGATCTGAAGCTAATAGAAAATCTGTTTAGTCAAAAGTTATCAAATCAAAAACAATACATAAAAAATACATTAAAAGCAAAACATTTCATCCACATTTTAAAAAGAAAATTATTCTAAAATATATGTATTCTGTATTTGACAAACAGTTCATTCGACAAATGAAAACTCACAGGAATATGTTTCAGCTATTAGAACAGAATGAGTTTTTATAATACTAGTTTAAAAACGCACTTCAGAGATTGCAGTGTTTGAAGATGTAGTTTCTCAGGAGGCAACAGTACTGTTGACTTCTCCCTCCACTGGACACCAACTATTTAAGTTGATTTGCATACAAAGCAGAGCGGGTGTTTTTTTTACTTTTCATATAATACAGTAGTCACACAATGAGGCAGTTCATATTTGTCTCAGTGAATCATTCATTTTTGACAGACACCTGTACAAAATACTTGAACTAAAGCCAGCTAAATTTTTCTGTTATCTTGCATGTTTTATGAATTTATTCACATCTAAATGCAGCACTTTTTTTTGCAATGAGACATTTGTTTTTATTCTAAAATATCTCAATTACTTTCAATAAAGCTGGAAATTATGTTCCTTAAAATAATTAAACAAATAAGGCCCCAATGTTTTTGTAAGATATTTACATCTTTTAAGGACATTCGGTAGACTGATTCCCCACTGTTGGTTCAACCCCAAAACTTGTTTGTATTCAAAATTAATTATGACAATGCATATTTATATTGAAACAAACTATGATAAAGGGAATTATATTATATAACAAAGGGCAAGAGTTCAACTATGTTTTCATTGAAAAATCCACCTACGCCAACTTTCAACTCCGGCAGTTCGACCACCTAAAACGAAAGATACTATTGCAGAAGCTAATCTAAAATTTTATACATTTTTTTTTCTTGCTGGATTAAAAAACCTCGTGCGACAAATACAATTATTTTGTTTCATTTTATTAGTATTGAAAGTATATTCTAAAATAATAAAAACAAACTCAACTGCATTGCTTAGTAGCAAATGATCGTGGTAGCGCAATCCGGTCATGCTGCGTTTCACAATTGTCGATTATTACCTAGTAATGATTATATCATTGAAACCGTAATAAGCCATAGGTGTTTAATACGTAGTCACTAATTGGTTAACCTCCGTCTGCGTGGAAAACACCTTAATGTTCTATTTCCATTTTAAAAGTTAAACGGTAGTTCTGTTCTAGTTTTTAGTTTGTGCGCAACTGTGTGAGTCAGTTAGTTCATCATGTTTTATGACGTTCTACAAGTTATGCAGTGTTCTCCCCAGATTCTAAGCCAAGCATCGCGGCTAATTTACATAACAATACATCTTATTTGCATAATTTTGTTTGCATAATAATTAGTTTCCCCAACAAACATTATAACTGAGTAAAGAAGAGATACATATCTCATATATTTTATATCATTTACATTCATTGTGTTTTATGTGTGCATCAAGTCAAATAAAGTTTGAAATAGAACAGGAAAGAAATGGAAATACTTATAGCCAGTCAGTAAATATATTGTTTATCCGTGGAGGTAACTGGTTCATCATTATTTTGTGTACAAGTACAGTCAGTTTTAGTGCCAATGTTACTGTCAGTTTGTTAAATTTGTAAAATCTGCAAGATTGCGGGTTATCAAAATATGAAGAAATTAATAAATCAATAATGACATTTTTTTCTACAACGGCATTTCAAAACTTAAGTCAGCGATTTTTCATTGATCTATCTATTATTTGTGTATCGCTACGATCACCGTAACATTGTCAGCTGACGGCATTGCGTTGAACGGGTATTCACCGCTGCTGTTGCAATCATCGGTCCCTGACTTTTATGTTTAAAAATACACAAACTTAGAATGTTTGCTTAATTAAAACGATTCATTGATGATTAACTTAGAAAT